TACCACCGTGGTCGGCGCAGTGGTGGCATGAGATGTGTGGCTCGCAACTTGTTGCACCGCCTGCGCCTCCGCGGCCGCCGCTATCCTCTGCATCTCCTCCCTGGTCACCGCCACCATCTGTTGACCAAGAGTTTGTGTCGCTGCCAGTGGCGGCGTTCCTCCCTGTGCCATCATTCCTCCTTGCGCCAGCGTTGGATCTGGTGGCGGTGCCCGTGGCATCGCTGCCGCAGCTGCTGCGCGAGCCTCCTGGGCCCGACTGGAATCGGCACCTCCTCTGGGGATCGCCGTTGTCACTTCCACACCTTGAAGGATAGGCGTGGGAGTGATCGGTGTCTGCGATGGGCCGAAAAAACCCGGAGGAGGGCCGTGCCCCAACGGCCTGGTCGTCGTTCAAGCTTCATCGAACGTTGACTGTAAGTTTTTGGGAATTCCGTCCGCCATAGCTGAGCTTCAAACACAACTTTTTAACAAAATCCCCACAGACGGCGCCAATAATGCAAGTGTGAGCGTCCTGGTCCGGTTTGAACGGATCAATCTCTGTCCTCGCCGGTAGAACGCCGGAAACTTGCAAATAACTCTCACACCGGGGGTTGTGTCCGGTGAAGAGCCTCCGATGCTTAAGTCAGTATGTGTCTGAGTATCCTGAAGTGAAGTATGGAAAAATAGAATGAATGTAGGGAGAAAGGCTCACCCCTTTTATATAGGGGTGAGATACCTGCCCTAGTAGCTGCCCGGATAAGGTGAGTTGGCTGCCCAAACTGTCCGTCCGAACTCTGGCACGCCGCACACATGTCAGAGGTGGTGTGGGGCGTTGGGAGCTGTCAGAGGTGGTTATCGCTATCACCCAATACATTGCCGACACACGTCCCCCCAGCACATGGGGTAAATATTCTCCTGATATTCAGTTAAAGGTTCTCACGCGCGTCTGTGATACACGCGCCTATAACCAGGCCGACTGTTGGTTCCTCGAGGCTATCTACCTGTCGGGGTCGAGTATGTTGCTCGATCATGTATCTGGTCGAGCGATGGGTTGCTCGATCGCTTATCTGGTCGAGCGAGGGGTTGGTCGACTACCTGCCCGATCGATTATCTGAATGGTCGATCTTCTCGCCTTTTGGCTTGGCTTCCTCTTGGTTTGACTCCTTCGACCGGCTGAGTAGGCCGATTTAGCCTTGTGTATATAATATCTCATATCAATCACTTTGTCTAAGGTGAAAATGAATCGGACATGCCTAGGAGATGCACTTTGTCTAAGTGCCAATCTTACTTAGCACTGAGTGAGAAGAATCGAATTGCTTTAATCTAAGTGTTGTAGAAATCG